GCATGCGTTCTCGCCGTGCAGACTGGTATCGATGCATTTCGTTGTGTTGTATGCCGGAGCGAATCCACTTTGTTGTTTACAGCGCAAAACAATGAAAGAATTCACGTCCCTAATTTTGGTGCGCACACCTAAATCAGCAGCTGACAAACGCCTAGAGAAAATCTTATGGCAAATGCTAGGTCAGAAGATAGTCAGCCGCTAATTACTCAATTCAGAATTCAGATAAATACTTAAGTATTAGGATCCAATAAAACCACAAAACACAATTCACTAGAAGTAACCTTTGTCTCGTCTCTGCGACAAAATTCTTTTTACTTCATTCAGAATCTTCTTGCACGTTTGCAGCCTACAGTAAACGGCCCCACCATGCGGGTTCTCAAAGTGAGCACTTCGGTTTGTCCGGAGGGAATTAAGGCTGCTGACCGCAAACACAACCACGACCTCGTCGTCATTGTGAAATCAGCCGTCCACAACTTCGAGGACAGACAAAACTTTCGCAGATTCTACGCCAATCTGCGAAACGAGAGCGTCGCTAAACTGCCTTATCGCATAGGGGTAGTGTTCGTGGTGGGCCTGCCAACAAGCGCAAGCAGCAATTTCTTCCAACGCGATGGTTTCAACATCTCACTGCCCGGTCGCGCCGGCAACTCGCTCGTCAACATTGGAAACCGCCGCGCCCAGATTCGAACTCGCCTAAAGCAGGAGATGCGTGAACACGATGATCTCATCGTGGGCGACTTCGAGGACACCTACTACAATCTGTCTCTGAAGATGAATCACACCTTCGTGTGGGCGGCCAGGTTCTGTCGTGAACGTCCTGCCTTCATGTTCCTCGACGATGACATTGGTTTCAATGAGTAACGCCTCCAGGCCGTTTTGCTCAGTCTGCCGGTGGATTGGCGGCGCAGTGTTTCCATTTCGAGTACTCGCTCGAATAGTCCCACAGTGTGTCCCACGGACACTTCGGCCGTCCTGAAATGGGCACTGTCGAAGCGGGAGGTTCCGTTGCCAGTGCATGCGCCCTACAGCAACGGATACTTCTACATGCTTGGTTACGATCACGTGACGGATCTGGCTTTGGCCATGTTCTACACCAAGAGCATTCCCATTGACGACGTCTGGTTGGGTCTGGTGATGCAAATGATTGGTCTTCAGTTCGAGTTGCCAGCTGGGGTCGTGTACACGTTGAAACATCAGGACAATGTCACCGGCTATATCGCCTTGCCCAATCTCTCCTGATCGCATACACGCGAGGAAGACTGTAGTGGAATTTTGGTATGACGATATTCGTATCCATGGCTACCAAGCAAAATAATCCCTCAAAAACCCCATGAGCATCGTATGCCTGTCTATACGGCGTCTTCCTATTCTTTAGCTTATTTTTGTGCGTTAAATGACTTTTGTTCAGGCTGTTGGTGGCGTTTAAAGCGGATTCATATTTGTCCAAAATGCTGTTACCTCAGTATGGCGTGTGCGCATCGGCTTCATTACTAGCTCCTGTAGAGCAGTTTATCTTTATCGTACGAGTCGGCGTCTATGCAAAAGTGTACGAGGACACCTTCTCGCTCGACTGGGGAAGGGCGAAATCAGGAGCATACACAGAGCCACTCCTGCGCATGTTGCCGACATCGTCTAGATCACTGCCATTTGTGGAGGCAGTAGGTGGAGTTATCGAGTTGTTGTTGCATTTGGTGAAGAGATGTTCATCGAGACCTATCCGCGTCCGAAATATTGGTTAACATTGTGGATCTGCAGGGGAAAGTTGGTGGTTGGCATTTGGGATTGGAGGAGCTTGAGACTTGCGATTTACACTTTGGCATTGGTGATTGGATTGGTTCCAGAGACTGCTGCCCCAGTCTTCGCTGCACTTCTCCATGTCGGTTGGCGCTGGACGAGGTCACCGAGTTGATTTGAAGTTGCATGATAGATGTCCTCATGGTGTCGTGAAGGACTCTATCGGCGAACACCTGCAGATGCATCGAAGAAATACAAGTTGCCTGGAAGGAGGCTCGTTGTCTATCCTCAGCTGACGGCCGCTCCATCGTAAATGCTGTTACCTCAGTAGGGCGTGCGCGCTGAGGATTTCAGTCTGTTCCTGCTGTCCCAGCTATAATATTCCTTGGACCGTTATATCGACGAGCATCTAGATCCACATTGCCGTATAAGTCTTTGAAAATAAATCGGTATCTTATGAACGGAGACTGGATCAACACGGGATCGCTTATCACAGCAGCGCCGGACTAAAGCCACAACAATATCTAAAGTTGACAATTCAGCGTTATGATCGTGCTACTAGCAATATTAAAGTAACATAGGAGTATGTAATTTAAGTATCATAAACAACGGCACTCACCGCTGCTCGCATTCACCACGATACCCGCAGACTAAAAAATTCTTCACTTATTCTCCTATATAATATGTGTGTTTCATCGGTATGCTGAACTTAGTCAACCAACAGATATCATATGCCTTCAAATGCTAGTAACTCATTATATTCTATGTTCATCTGCAGAGTTATTCCTCTTGCATTTCTTCCATGTTACTTGCTTTCCATTTTCTCCATATAGTTCTTCTCCATGTTAGCAATAGGGATTTCAAAGGCACACGCCTATTTTTCCTGAAATACACTGATGCTGATACTGGAACTGAGTAAAATGTGAATTTTAGTGTAAGGGGATACCATACTAGCAGGACAGGTAATAGCCAAATGTCCATACACGCGATTTTTGTTGATATTCTGCCGCTGTTTGTCACAGCTGCCAGGGATTCGGCTCTTCAGCGGCTCCCCAACATTGTTCGTCTGATTTCTGGTAGATACATTAATGCAAAAAGTTTCTATTAATTTCCTTAAAAAGTAATTGCAAATTTCGGTCGGAGCCTAAGACCTTAAATATACCGATCTGCTTCAAGTTCGCAGTTCATTTTTGAGGACGTTGAAGAAGCGGCAATTTCTAAATTAGACTCTCTACTAGAATGCAGGCGAGGAAACCTGAGACCCACTGATGAGCGGAACCCTTCGCAGCTTTGTCATGCAGGGGCAAACTATCTCTGAAACACACGTGTAGGGACTTTTGGCAAGTACCCGTGCTGTTAGTATGGTATCGACTTACCCTTAAATTTACTTCAAACTGCCTAAGTGCTAATGAATATTACGTGGTTACCGG